TACTTAGTTAGGCTAATTTGTTGCAGGGTGATGTTTTGATGGCTTGCAGGGGGCGGATGGGGGCGTTCTTTGTCTGGTTCTTTGTTTTTGTTTTTTCACTTAGCTGGGCTTTTCGCTTTGCTTGTTTGTTTAGTTGGTCTTTTTGAAGGGAACGGGGTATCTGTGTTTGTGAGCATCATTTGCAAAAGCTCAGAGCTGGTTGCTGGGTTATTTGCATCTGCCTGTGGTCAGTGTCAACTCACTACTTTTGCCACTCTTTTTTTGTTTGTCAGAGAGCAAAACATTTTATGTTCTTGTTGTCTGTAATCACTTGTTGTCTAACCGTTTCACCACAAAAGAACCAGCCTTTGTTAATGAACTTCCTCGCTCACTGAACCACAGGGGAAAAAAATAGCGTACATGTTTTTGTAATGTAGATCTAAATATACCTCCTTATTTTCCCTCTTTTATCTTCTAAAGATCATCTTAGCCCATCTGCACAAAAAGACGTTACGAAGCATTTGTAGATCTGTGGCCCTAGTCCTGCAAACACTAGTACAGACATGTGCTAACTGTATTCCTAGGAGTAATCCCATTGATTTCAGTGGGACGCCTAAAGGGAATAAAGTTAAGCCCTGGCATACGTATTTGCCTAAAACTGTATTTATGAGGGCTCAGTGAGCCATATCATGCCTTCCATGAGAAGATAGCACAATATGGTGCATTCTCTGTCCCCTGTGGCAGTGGCTCTTAACCTTTCTAGGCTACTGTACCCCTTTCAGGAGTCTGATTTGTCTTGCATACCCCCAAGTTTCACCTCACTTAAAAGCTACTTGCTTACACAATCAGACATAAAAATACACAAGTGTCACAGCGCACTAGTACTGAAAAATTGCTGACTTTCTCATTTTTACCATATCATTATAAAATAAATCAATTGGAATATAAATCTTGTCCTTACATCTCAGTGTATGGCATAGAGAGCAGTATAAACAAGTCATTGTCTTTATGAAATTTTAGTTTGTACTGACTTCACTAGGGCTTTTTATGTAGCCTGTTGTAAAACTAGGCAAATATCTAGATGAGTTGATGTACCCCCTGGTAGACCTCTGCGTACCCCCAGGGGTACACGTACCCCTAGTTGAGAACCACTGCCCTATGGCATTTTCCCCAATAGTGACAACTGAACCTCAAGAGATTTGGAGGATTAGCTGGGATATGTATCTGTCTGAAATACTTTGGGTTGTGATTCTGCAGTCCTCACTCAGGCAAAATTTCCACCTACATCAATGGGAATTTTACCTAATGAAGCAACAGGTGCTAGCCCTGAGTTTGGAAATAGGGCTGAAAAATCTGACCCAAACATCTGATCCCAAGAGACTCTCCGCTCTTTGTCTGAGTCTGGCCGGAAATACTGTGACTCTCTGCATGGCTTATCTATTTTTGTTTTCAGCTCGGAGCAGGGAGACAGGAAACAATTTTCTCAACTTCACCAAAGGGGGTGTTTCAGTTTGGGTTTAGCTCTAATTTAGTGCACATCGTTTACATATCTCTCGCCATCACCTGAATGTATCTCATTTAAATAATTCATATCCGTCTTACTAATGTTACCCAGAAAGCCTCTTTAAACTATTTCGAACAATGACCTTCCCGTGAATGCTCCCGCGTGATGTAACATATAGTTGTAAAGTGGGGGTCCAACTCTTTAATGAATGAATCTGATTTAGCCTTAGCTGCCACCCGACAGAGGGGTTGACTTTTCCTTGCAGCATAGGCATCGGCCTGCCTTTGTCCAAGTGCTGCGGAGAAGAACTGGTCACAAACTGGGGTGATTTTTACAAAGACATTTTTGACGTTTTGTAGGAAAAACCTAAAACTTTTTGGTTTTCGGGTTTTCAACAAATAGTCGAAATTTTCCGAGGAAAGCAGATATTTTTTCAGCAAAAAAAATGTCTTTCAGATCCACTTTTCCACTGAAAATGGTTGCGATGGAAAATCTCCCATCAGCCTCAAGGTCCTGCTGAGCTCCTTACTAATTTGACATGTCTGAGTAGCACCACTGGTGAGAAAGGCCCTTTTCCACTTTGAGCTTGGTAGGAGACTTCACCCTTTCTTTCAGATGATGAACTAACTGGCCATAGTGACCAGAATGTTCACTGGTTTAGGGATAGACAGAGGAAACAAGAGGTGGGTTAAACAAGCAACAAACTAAATGTCATGGCACAAATAAGGAGGAGATAGCCAGAAAGAAGATCAGTAGTAATGGAAGAGCCCGATAACAGGCAGAGAGGGGCATTATATCCTCCTTGTGATGGGGTGTATAGACCCTACAAGACAGCAGACACTAAAGGGTTAAGACAGGAAGCAATCACTTCCCCAGCGGCAGCTAAATGGCAGGTTTAACAGCTGGGATAAAAAGCTGCAACCCGGCTGGAGTGGGGCAGTTGCCAGAGAGATTCTGGGTACGTCTACACTGCATGGCTGATCCAGGTCAGCTGACACAGGGCTGCAGGGCTCGGGCTGCCGGGCTATAAAATCTCAGTGTAGACGCTCGGGCTCTGAGACCCTCCTCTCTTGCAGGGTCTCAAAGCCTGGCTCCAGCCTGAGCATCTATACTGAGATTGTCTAGCCTCACAGCCTGAGCCCTGCAAGCCCGTGTCAGTTGACCCTGGTTCTGAGACTTGGCGCCGCAGGTTTTTTATCGCAGTGTAGACGGGAGGGTGGGGGAGCTCAGGGAGGCAGTCGGAGATTTAAACAAAAACAAGTCTTTTTGACTGCCTAACCTAGGATCCCTGGTCTGGCACCCAGAGGAAAGGGCATGCCTGGGTCCCCCTGCCATCCCCTCGTGGAAGAGGGTAGAGATTGATGAGACACCAGACCTGGGTGGCAGCACTAACTTTACTTTTTGTTCCTGCTTTAATTTCTTTTGCTTCTGCCTGCTGAAGAAGGGACTGAAGAAACCTGTAAAAGGGCCCCACCAGAACCAGGGGTAGGAGAAGCCCTAAGGCAAGGATTCCACCGGGGACCAGCAGAACTGTGGGGTGAGGTCCCGTGCAACCCCTGAAGGAGAGAGACCCGGCTGGAGTCTCGGAGGAAGGCTGAGTGATACAGCTTCCATCCCAGAATGGAGTACAAGAAACTGAGGCAGGGATGCAACCATGATTCTACAATGGACCACCAGGGGGCACTCCAGGACTGAGTCCCCCACCACTTCGCACCTCAGTCAGGCCACGTGCCATGACATAGGTGGCATAGCAGGTTCTCATAAAACCCACGACACCTCTACAGCCTCGTAAATGCGATGCCAAAAAGGACCAATCCTGCGCAGATTCATGCCCCAGTGGGTGTTCTGGATGTGCACAGGTTGCAGGATTGGATCCAACCTGCAGAGTAAGAAGATTGGTGACATGGCAAAGTCCAACCTCTCCCATATTCTGGAAATACATAAAAGGAGGCGTTAGTTCTGTCATTCCTGAAACAAGCTGCGGCTTTCACTTTGGTGATTTAAATGGTGACTAAAGTCCTCCGAGCCTGGCCTCCAAATGTCATTACTGGTTAGTGTCATGCTGTCAGGAAATACAGCAGAAGGATGGGTGGGTGCAGGAAGTAACTCCCTCATTTTTTCATGCCATGTGCTGGATGCATTGTACCTTGCAACACTGGCACATTAACCAACATTGCAAACTATTCTGACCCTTTAGAACCCAACACTGCGTGCTGTATTTGGTAGAATATTTTCTTCTGTGTTGTCCGATCTTTGGGTATTTATACTTATAATCATTATGAGCCAAATTTTCAAAGGCATCAGAATTAAGGGCATAAATACCATAGAAAATCAATGCAACTTTGATGCTTTTGAAAATATACCCTATAGTATCTCGGGGTCTGATATTAATTCATCAACAGTCAGCAACAAATACAGCATCCTTTGTGGGTTCCTCCCCGCTCACCTACCCTCCCCCATCCCCTGACCCTAGTCAGTTGATATCCATCTACACCACAGCACACGCTCCTGGGCCGTGTTCTTCATCAGAAATGACCCTTCACTGAAGCAGCGTGTCAGACTTTCGTTGTGTTTTCTACAAACATGCTCTTTGCCAAGTATCTGATTTTCTCTTCCATGGGTAAAACTCCTTGTGTTACTGAACAGCATTCAGAAAATAGTCAGTGCAAGAGGATGTGGACTTTTGTGGGAGCTTAGCAGAGTTTTGCTGCAGTTTAGATGCACTTCCATTCACTTGTGCTAGCTTTAGCCTGGTTTCTAGTAGTCACGCTGCAGCCACTTTTACAGAGCATAAGTATTAGCAGACTAAATAAGTTTTATTCCGGAACTATCCCATTTGTCTATGGCAGAGAGAGATCCAATGAAAGCGACTAAAACGACATAATCTGTTTTATT